CACGAGAGATACTTTTGAAAGAATCGACTCAATTGTGCAAAATTGCGCATAATTCTTGGCTCGTTTCGACTTGAGATCGAATTTTTGCGATTTCTACAAATGACTAACGAAAAATCGTGATGATTTGCGCAATCTGGAAGTCACGAGAGATACTTTTGAAAGAATCGACTCAATTGTGCAGAATTGGGCATAATTTTTGGTCGTTTCGAGTTGATGCCAATTTTTTGCGATTTCAACAAATGACTAATAAAAAATCGTAGTGCATTGTGCAATCTGGAAGTCACAAGAAATATTTTTGAAAGAATCGACTCACTTGCGCCAAATTGCGCATAATTCTTGGCTCGTTTCGAGTTGAGACCGATTTTTCGCGATTTCTACAATTGACTAACGAAAAATCGTAATGGATTGTGCAATCTGGAAGTCACGAGAGATACTTTTGAAAGAATTGACTCAATTGTGCAGAATTGGGCAAAATTCTTGGCTCGTTTCGACTTGACGTCGAATTTTTACGTTTTCTACAAATGACTAACGAAAAATCGTAGTGCATTGTGCAATCTGGAAGTCACGAGAGATACTTTTGAAAGAATTGACTCAATTGTGTAGAATTGGGCATAATTCTTGGCTCGTTTCGACTTGACGTCGAATTTTTACGTTTTCTACAAATGACTAACGAAAAATCGTAGTGCATTGTGCAATCTGGAAGTCACAAGAACTAATTTCGAAAAAACGAATTCATTTGGATAAAAAAATTCAGGGGTCCAAAGTGGCGCAGTCGGTTAGGAGGGCTGGTGGCAGGCGATCGGGGCTCGCGCCTCCCGGGTTCGATCCCGCGGAAAGCCTGGAGGTCTGAAATATTGTAAAAATGATGGAATTGAATGAAAGATTAGCTAGAGAAATGGGTTTTTGATCTTTTGAGCCCAATTCGATGGCTTTTCTATGGTTTCCTTGGGGAAATTTCTCGGAATCATTCGGATAAATTTTCGGGATTTTCCATTTGGCAAAAATCTATTTTTAAAACACTGAAATGTTTTTTAATTGATTTAAATTGATAATAGGCCTCTTTCCTCTCATTTCCTTGCATTCAAAACGTGCCAATTTTCAATGTTTTCAAAAATTTTGACATTTTTGAAATGTCCAAAAAAAATTTCGAGTTTCAGGTCCACCGGGAATTTTTTTTTGTTTAAAAATTACCTGCGAAAGACTTTTTTTGGTTAAATCAAAAGGAAAAGTTTTGGGATTTTTCGCGTTTTTGATATCTAATTGGGCGGGGTTTTTGAAAAATCGGCAAAAAAGTGATTACGGTAATCAGAACTTTTCCCGCAATCATTTTCTCACTTTTCCTCAACTTTTACAGGTCCAGATCATTTTTCTGTTTGATCTGGATGTCACAGTAGGCTTTGCAGACGTTAGATTTCAAAAATTTGCATATTTAATTTTTTGAGTGTTCATTCTCTTTGTGTTTACCCCAGCATAAACACAAGCCACCTAGTGCACGAAATTATGTCTTTTTTCACTTTTATATTGAATTGTGCGTTCCAGGATGGCTAAATCTTTAAAAAAAATAGTGTTCTTTTTTGAATTCTCTCTTTTTCGGAGTCGATTCGAGTTCACCGAAAAATCTCGGTTTTTGAAAGACTTGGAAATTTTTCTGAGCGTTGCATTCGGCAAACTGGATGTCACAGTAGGCTTTGCAAACGTTAGATTTCAAAAATTTCCATATTTTTTTTTGCATTTTTTAAAAACTTAAAACACGTATATCTTTTCGCAGAGTGCTCCATATCAAAAACGGAAAGCAGATTCGAAATCAGCGTGAAATTCTGCGTCGAATGGTATATGGCTTAGCTCATGTTGCTGTCGCTTTCCGTTGTTAAGTGTTAGAATACGACAAACTCCACTACAAAGGCTTTCTGTAGCGGGCATTATTAGCTGTTAGAAGTAGTACTATAGAGTTTCTACGCATCCGGTTTACTGTAACGTGAATCTACTGTCTATCTACTGTCTGGTAATCCGCAGAAAAGTGATTACGGCAATGCCTCGACTGATAGAACTTTTCCCACCATCATTCTACCACTTTTTCCCAACTTTTGCGGGTTTCAGATCATTTTTCTGTTTGATCTGGATGTCATAGTAGGCTTTGCAGACGTTAGATTTCAAAAATTTGCATATTTAAATTTTTGAGTGTTCATTCTCTTTGTGTTTACCCCAGCATAAACACAAGCCACCTAGTGCACAAAATTATGTCTTTTTTCACTTTTATATTGAATTGTGCGTTCCAGGATGGCTAAATCTTTACAAAAAAAATAGTGTTCTTTTTGAATTCTCTCTTTTTCGGAGTCGATTCGAGTTCACCGAAAAATCTCGGTTTTTGAAAGGCTTGGAAATTTTTCCGAGAGTTGCATTCGGCAATCTGGATGTCACAGTTTAGTTTAACAAAAGAAAATTGAGATTTAGGGTAAAAATGGACTGGTTCGAGTACACGACTTACCTGAGGTACCAACAAACGCAATGGAATTATTTCGAAAAGAACAAAGTGACCGAGATGATGACCGGGGTGAATCGGTACAGTATTGAAGGACCGTACCAAAGCTACAACTACAGCCCGTATTTCACGGGTTACTACTATGGTGAGTGGCGAATCAGGGTCAGATCCAGGTCCAGTTCAGGGTCGGAGCCTCTAATATGCTTTACAGTATCCTAATCCAAATTTTAACCAGAAAATCGTTAATCTTGGAGGTCACACTATGGAAATTAGCATTTAAAGTAATAGCTAACCGTTAGAGAAAGCTAACTGAATTTAAGACGAAACCTACAGTACTCCCTACAGTAGGCTAAAGTATTCCAATTCAGATTTTAACTAGAAAATCGTTAATCCTGGAGGTCATGCTATGAAAATTAGCATTTAAAGTAATAGCTAGCCGTTAGAGTAACATAACCGAACTTAAAACGTAACCTGTAGTTCACCCTACAGTAGGCTGCAGTATTCCAATTGATATTTTAACCAGAAAATCGTTAATCCTGGAGGTCATGTTATGCAAATTTGCGTTTAAGACCAAGCCAGGCTAATTCCAAGATCAAGGTCAGATCTAGTCCAGAGTCAGGCCAAGCCAAGCCAGGCCAAGGCCAAGTCAGGTCATGCCAAGCCAGGCCAAGCCCAACCCGGCCAGGACCAAGCCAGGCCAGGTCAAGCGAGACCAAACCAGGCCAGGCCAAACCAGGCCAGGACAAGGCCAAGTCAGGTCATGCCAAGCCAGGCCAGGACCAGGCCAGGCCAAGCCAGGCCAGGCCAAACCAAGCCAGGCCAAGCCAAGCCAAACCAACCCAGGCCAAGCTCGGCTAGATATTCTGATACAGTAACAACTTTAGTTTCCTTTTCGCTTCTGGACATCATCGACCTGGTTCTCAGCTTGCTCTACCTGATTGTGATCGGCTTCACCGGTAAACGAATCTCTCAGTACTTCTGGGACCTAGTACAGCTATCTAGTGCAGTAAGACACGAGCTACAGTACTCCTAAGTATAGCTACAGTACTCCTAACTTTGGGATTCTGATACTATGATACTCTAAATGGGTTTACGGTTTACCGATTCTCCAATATGGCTCCAATCTGGCTTTTCATTTCAATAATTTCAATAGATTCGAGTCTGGGCTTGTACACGACACCGACCGGATTCACGATCTGTTTGCGCAACGCTTTCTTCTGGATCAGACAGATTTCGCTGATGATTGGCGCGTTTTCAGTGTACGTTTTTTATCTATAAAGAGTTGCAGCCAGTTGAGCTGCAGCCAGTTGAGCTGCGGCCAGTTAAGCTGCGGCCAGTTGAGCTGCGGCCAGTTGAGCTGCAGCCAGTTGAGCTGCAGCCAGTTGAGGATAGAAAAATGCGTTTCAAATTGTTCTGCATAACAACTTTGAGATCCGGTTGAGTATTGGCGTCGATTCTTGTAAACTTTTTCAACCCAGATACCCCAGAGGTTCTCAATCGAGTTGAGATCAGGCCTGGCTTGATCTTAAACGCAAATTTCCATAGCATGACCTCCAGGATTAACGATTTTCTGGTTAAAATTTGAATTGGAATACTGTAGCATGCTGTAGGGTGCACTACAGATTTCGTCTTAAATGCAGTTAGCTTACTGTAACGGCTAGCTATTACTTTAAATGCTAATTTTCATAGCGTGACATCCAGGATTAACGATTTCCTAGTTAAAATTTGAATTGGGTTTCTATAGCCTACTGCAGGGTAGAGCATAGGTTACGTCTTAAGCTCGGTTATGTTACTCTAGCGGCTAGCTATTACTTTAAATGCTAATTTCCATAGTGTGACCTCCAGGATCAACGATTTTCTGGTTAAAATTTGGATTAGGATACTGTAAAGTATATTAGAGGCTCTGACCCTGAACTGGACCTGGGTCTGACCCTGAATCGACTTAGCCAAACCAATAGACTCATCGACTTAGCCAATGCAATCCATTGCTTTGTATGATTGGCTTTGTGAGCGCTAGCATTGCTTTGTGAGCACTAGCAATGCTTTGTAAATGCTAGTTTGCTCAAATTCGTAATTTACTTTGAGATTTTGAGAGAAAAAGAAGCAGAGAGGTGTACAAAACATTCTAAGGCCGGTGTTCAAAACAGCCATTCGATTCGAAACGAACTGTGGATCGACTTATCAGCCAGGCAATGAGCCAGCCAGGCAAAGAGCCAGCCAGGCAAAGACCACCGGAATGACCAGCCAGGCAATGAGCCAGCCAGGCAATGAGCCAGCCAGGCAATGAGCCAGCCAGGCAATGAGCCAGCCAGCCAGCACCAAACCCACTCCAGCACCTAGCACAACCTCCTCCAGAGTTCCTATCCCAAAATGACTCAAATCCTTTCGTCTTTTGAATCAAAATCCTTTCAAATCCTCGTCTCCATTAGTGCGTGTACCAATCGAGAACCCCAATGTTCCCTTTCTTCATTAGCTACATTTCAGCTACACCTTCCTTGCCTCCGTGACATCACTTCTGCAAATGATGGCTCCGATGATCTTTTTTGGCACAAATGCTTTCTATATGATGTCAGCGATTGGAGTGGTTGAGAGACGGGAGAAATGCGGGGGAATCGGGTGAGTGCCTGGTACGGCCATGGGCCATTGGCCATGAGCCATGGGCCATTCGACGCAGAATCTCACGCTGATTCCGAATCTGCTTTTCGTTTTTGATATGGAGCACTCTGTGAAAAGATAGCCGTGTTTTAAGTTTTGCAAAAATGCCAAGTTTGAACTAGATAAGCAACGGCAACATGAGCTAAGCCATATACCATTCGAAGCAGAATTTCACGCTGGTTCCGAATCTGCTTTCTGTTTTTGCTATGGAGCACTCTGTGAAAAGATAGATGTGTTTTAAGTTGTTGCAAAAATGCCAAGTTTGAACTAAAAAAAGTTTGAAAAAAATTAAAACACAGTTCAAACTTGGCATTTTTCAAAACTTAAAACACGTATATCTTCTCGCAGAGTGCTCCATATCAAAAACGGAAAGCAGATTCGAAATCAGCGTGAAATTCTGCGTCGAATGGTATATGGCTTAGCTCATGTTGCTGTCGCTTTCCGTTGTTAAGTGTTAGAATACGGCAAACTCCACTACAAAGGCTTTCTGTAGCGGGCATTATTAGCTGTTAGAAGTAGTACTATAGAGTTTCTACGCACCCGGTTTACTGTAACGTGAATCTACTGTCTATCTACTGTCTGGTAATCCGCAGAAAAGTGATTACGGCAATGCCTCGACTGATAGAACTTTTCCCACCATCATTTTCTCACTTTTCCCCAACTTTTGCGGGTCCAGATCATTTTTCTGATTGATCTGGATGTCACAGTAGGCTTTGCAGACGTTAGATTTCAAAAATTTGCATATTTGAATTTTTGACTGTGCACTCTCTTTGTGTTTACCCCAGCATAAACACAAGCCACCTAGTGCACAAAATTATGTCTTTTTTCACTTTTTTCTTGAATTGTGCGTTCCAGGATGGCTAAATCTTTACAAAAAAAATAGTGTTCTTTTTGAATTCTCTCTTTTTCGGAGTCGATTCGAGTTCACCGAAAAATCTCGGTTTTTGAAAGGCTTGGAAATTTTTCCGAGCGTTGCATTCGGCAATCTGGATGTCACAGTAGGCTTTGCAAACGTTAGATTTCAAAAATTTCCATATTTCCTAAAGCCTACTGTATCCAACCTCATTTCAGCCTTTTCTACATCCCGATCATTCTCCTCACCTCCTTCATCGCCATTTCAATGTACGTTTGTTTGCAAGGCACTTTCGTCACCTCCTTCTGGGCGATCGTCACACTCGCTGGGCACTCGTTTATGGCTATCGCCGGCTTTTTGATAGTCACACTGGTGATTGTGGTGAGTACAGTGATAAAGTGACAAAAGGTCGCCGGAAAATAGTGATCGGTTGTGCAATCTGGAAGTCACAAGAGATACTTTCGAAAGAATCGACTCAATTGTGCAGAATTGGGCATAATTTTTGGTCGTTTCGAGTTGAGGCCAATTTTTTGCGATTTCTACAAATGACTAATAAAAAATCGTAGTGCATTGTGCAATCTGGAAGTCACAAGAAATATTTTTGAAAGAATCGACTCACTTGCGCCAAATTGCGCATAATTCTTGGCTCGTTTCGAGTTGAGGCCAATTTTTTGCGATTTCTACAAATGACTAATAAAAAATCGTAGTGCATTGTGCAATCTGGAAGTCACAAGAAATATTTTTGAAAGAATCGACTCAATTGTGCAGAATTGGGCAAAATTCTTGGCTCGTTTCGACTTGACGTCGAATTTTTACGTTTTCTACAAATGACTATCGAAAAATCGTAGTGAATTGTGCAATCTGGAAGTCACAAGAGATACTTTCGAAAGAATCGACTCAATTGCGCCAAATTGCGCATAATTCTTGGCTCGTTTCGACTTTACATCGAATTTTTACGTTTTCTACAAATGACTAACGAAAAATCGTAGTGAATTGTGCAATCTGGAAGTCACAAGAAATAATTTTGAAAAAATCAATTTATTTGGATGAAAAAATTCAGGGGTCCAACGTGGCGCAGTCGGTTAGGAGGGCTGGTGGCAGGCGATCGGGGCTTGCGCCTCCCGGGTTCGATCCCGGAAGGCGCTCCGAAATTCTGAAATATAGTAAAAATGATGAAATTAAATGAAATATTAGCTAGAGGAATGGATTTTAGATCTTTTAGACTCCATTCGATGGCTTTTCGATGTTTAGCTAACTACTATTCATCTGTAATCGTCCGTCCGTTTTTCTGTAGTCTCGGCTCCCTGATTTTTAGTTTGTTAGGCTTAGAATTCGATGTAATTCTGTTCTTTTAAGAAGAAAAAGTCATGGCCCAGCCGTGGGTCGAACCCGGATCATTTGGGCCGTAGACAAGCGCGCTCCCCACAGCGCCACGACGACCAAACCCGCCAGCAAACCAGCCAGGAAAACCCGCCGTTAAACGGGTTTTTCCGCGTGGATATTACAAACATTACAGTACTATTGACAACAGTAAACAGGCTAGCTAAAATATCCAAGATTCTAGGCGCCCTGCATGTGTTGTTGTGGTCGAAAATCGTCACCGAAACAAGACCAATCGCATACGGTGAAATATGCAAAGCGGCGGCTGCTCTGGACCGTCATTTTCATTCTCTTTGCCACCGTGCCATTAGTGCCATCGCTGTGTGAGTTTAAAGTACCCGAAATGCTTATCCTGGAGGTCACACTATAGAAATTAGCATTTAAAGTAATAGCTAGCCGTTACAGTAAGCTAACTGAATTTAAGACGTAGCTTCTAGTACACCCTACAACATGCTACAGTATTCCAATCCAGATTTTAACTAGAAAATCGTTAATCCTGGATGTCACACTATAGAAATTTGCATTTAAAGTGATAGCTAGCCGTTACAGTAAGCTAACTGAATTTAAGACGAAATCTGTAGTACACCCTACAGTAGGCTACAGTATTCCAATTCAAATTTTAACCAGAAAATCGTTAATCCTGGATGTCACACTATAGAAATTTGCATTTAAAGTAATAGGTAGTTGTTACAGTAAGCTAACTGAATTTAAGACGAAATCTGTAGTACACCCTACAGTAGGCTACAGTATTCCAATTCAAATTTTAACCAGAAAATCGTTAATCCTGGATGTCACACTATAGAAATTTGCATTTAAAGTAATAGGTAGTTGTTACAGTAAGCTAACTGAATTTAAGACGAAACCTATACTATAGTCGATAGTAGGCTACAGTATTCCAATTCAGTTTTTAACTAGAAAATCGTTAATCCTGGATGTCACACTATAGAAATTAGCACTTAAAGTGATAGCTAGCGGTTACAGTAAGCTAACTGAATTTAAGACGAAACCTGTAGTACAACCTACAGCATGCTACAGTATTCCAGTCCAGATTTTAACTAGAAATCCATTAATCCTGGATGTCACACTATAGAAATTTGCATTTAAAGTAATAGCTAGCCGTTACAGTAAGCTAACTGAATTTAAGACGTAACCTACAGTATACCCTTAGCCGTTCTCCTTACCGTACCGTATACCTTCCCCAGGCTACAGTATCCCTGAGTAAATCAAGCATTCCAGGTCTCTCCGTTTGTCGCCTAGTCGAGGCATTGATGTACGGCAAATGGATCTTCGACTATCGTTTCCTCGCGTGAGTTTGAGCCTATATCTCATCAAGAGTACATCTATAAACCCCAAACTACTTAAAATTTCTCCATCCTGGAGCTCACAGCTCAATTTCCAGTTGGCGTTCGACTTTCTACAGCGATTCCTACTTCATCTACTCGCCCAGCGGGAATTTCTTTCTTTGGTATCTTCGGTATTGGGTTAGTTAGTTCGTTTTGCAGAGGATTTTCATTTCTACTTATTTCTAAGTACTGTAGTTCATTTGGCTGTCTTTCAGCTGCCTGTTCTTCACGAGGCTTTTCACATCGTTTTCTTTCTGGGATGCTTCATTCTTCTGCCACCATTCCGCCGGATTATTTTCTGCTGTCGCTGGAGGGAAAAGAAAGCGAATGCGGTGGGTATAAGATAGCTAAGGAATACTGTAGCCAGCTGTAGAAGGGTATTGTAGCCAAGGGAATACTGTAGGTTACGTCTTAAATTCAGTTAGCTTACTGTAACGGCTAGCTATTACTTTAAATGCTAATTTCTGTAGTGTGACCTCCAGGATTAACGATTTTCTAGTTAAAATTTGAATTGGAATACTGTAGCCTACTGTAGCGAGTACTGTAGGTTACGTCTTAAATTCAGTTAGCTTACTGTAACGGCTAGCTATTACTTTAAATGCAAATTTCTATAGTGTGACATCCAGGATTAACGATTTCCTAGTTAAAATCTGAATTTGAATACTGTAGCCTACTGTAGGGTGTACTACAGATTTCGTCTTAAATTCAGTTAGCTTACTCTAACGGTTAGCTATTACTTTAAATGCTAATTTCCATAGTGTGACCTCCAGGATTAACGATTTTCTAGTTAAAATCTGAATTGGAATACCGTAGTCTACTGTAGGGAGTACTGTAGGTTACGTCTTATATCCAGTTAAGTTACTGTAACGGCTAGCTATTACTTTAAATGCTAATGTTCATAGCATGACCTCCAAGATTAACGATTTTCTAGTTAAAATCTGAATTTGAATACTGTGAGCAGCTTTATTAGCTTGATTCCTGATCACATCAATTTATCAAGGAGAAATGTGTTTAGCTCACTTCTGGCACCGTGTTGATGCTAGCTGGAGCGCAGGACGGGCAAGGACAGCAAGAAATGGCACAGGGCGTGCAAAGGCCGACAGGGGTTATGGTAGCTGCGCCGGTGCAGACCCAGGTCCCGGCTCCGGTTACGGCTCCAGCTCTAGCTCCAGCTCCAGCTCCAGCTCCAGCTCTAGCTCCAGCTCCAGCTCCAGTCCAGCCTGTACCCCGTGCAATGCCGTCAGCTCCACCAGTCACCCCACCACAACAACAGCCACAAATACAGAATATCTACCCGAATCTGTCGCAGCTCCAACTCCAGCAGCAGCAGCTTCAACAACCGCATTCCACACCCGTTCAAGAGCTTCATATCATTCAAACTGGACAACAACACCAGCATCAACTCCAGCATCAACTCCAGCATCAACTCCAGCATCAACACCAGCATCAACTCCAGCAATCCTGTGCCACTTGTCAACCAGTTCCCCTTCAGCCGATGCTCTTGCAGGTTCTTTTTCTTTTTTGTAAACGAATCCTTTCTGGTACACTAGATTCTTTCTCAATTTCTCTTTTTCAAAAGAATAAATTCGGGAAACGATTTAAATGAAATAATGGTGTACAATAGCGTACGGTAGCTGAGTGTACGGTAATATTATGTCGTACAATAGCGTACGGTAGCTGAGTACTGTACAATACAGTACTACTAGACGTACGATGTACAATACAGTACTACTAGACGCGAAAGGTAGACGGAATCCAAAGTAGTGGCTAGGCACGGTACGGTTTAAGTACTCGCACGGTACAATACGTCCATTAAGTACTGTACTCCAGTACAGTACGGAGTACAGTACGTCCATTAAGTACTGTACGTCCATTAAGTACAGTACTCCATTAAGTACTGTACGTCTATTAAGTACAGTACTCCATTAAGTACTGTACGTCTATTAAATACTGTACTGCGTTACTGTATCGTTCAGTACAGTTTAACAAAGTACTGTACTGGATAATGCGAGAACACGGTAAGGCAAAAAATTTTGATAAAAATCAAAATCCAAACCCTAAGATATCTAGTGTGATATCCAGATCGAAGAAAAAACGAAATTAAAAGACAATTGCTCTTGTCAATTTTCCGGAATAGTCGCAAACTCTCGACAGTGCATATCGAGTACAACTCTTTCAAGGAAAATCAAAATCTGGATCCTGAGAATTCTAGTGTGACATCCAGATCGAAGAAAAAACGCAACTAAAAGACAATTGCTCTTGTCAATTTTCCGGAATAGTCGCAAACTCTTAGCAGTCCACACTCTGACAAATATTTAGGTGAAAATCAAAATCTGAACCCTAAGAATTCTAGTGTGATATCCAGATCGAAGAAAAAAACCCATTAAAATAAAACAGCTCTTGTCAATTTTCCGGAATAGTCGCAAACTCTTGGCAGTCCACTCTCTGCAGTTCAACGACAGTTATAAACAGCCCACAATATAGACTTAAGCGCATGTTAGCCAAAAAAACTTTGGCAGCCTGAATTTTTGTTTTCTTTGGGTTTATGCATGTGTTAACTTGTTGAGCTCTTCATAGCTGTCGTTGAACTGCAGAGAGTGGACTGCCAAGAGTTTGCGACTATTCCGAGAAATTGACAAGAGCTGTTTTATTTTAATGGCGTTTTTTCTTCGATCTGGATATCACACTAGAATTGCTAGCATCCAGATTTTGATTTTCCTTGAAACAGTTGTACTCGATATGCACCGTCGAGAGTTTGCGATGATTCTAAAAGATTGGCAAGAGCGATTTCCTTTAAATTGCGTTTTTTCTTCTATCTGGATGTCACACTAGATATCTTAGGGTTCGGATTTTGATTTTTATCAAAATATTTGTCAAAGAGTGGACTGCAAAGAGTTTGCGACTATTCCGAGAAATTGACAAGAGCGACTAGCTTTTAGTTGCGTTTTTTCTTTGATCTGGATATCACACTGGAATTGCTAGCATCCAGATTTTGATTTTCATTGAAATAGTTGTACTCGATATGCACCGTCGAGAGTTTGCGACTATTCCGAGAAATTGACAAGAGCAATTGTCTTTTAATTTCGTTTTTTCTTCGATCTGGATATCACACTAGAATTGCTAGCATCCAGATTTTGATTTTCATTGAAATAGTTGTACTCGATATGCACCGTCGAGAGTTTGCGACTATTCCGAGAAATTGACAAGAGCAACTGGCTTTTAATTTCGTTTTTTCTTCGATCTGGATATCACACTAGAATTGCTAGCATCCAGATTTTGATTTTCATTGAAACAGTTGTACTCGATATGCCGTAGTACATGGCATAGTACTGTCCCGTACCAGTTTACAGCTACAGCTACCGTATGCCAGTTATAAGCTAAACCAGCCAAAAAACCGCTTTTCCGCGGGTTTTTCTGGCTGACGCTTTTCTGGCTGGCTTGTCACTGGCTGGCCGTTCCAGAAGGCGCAGTGTGGAGCGTGCTTGTCTACGGCTCACACCATGCGGGTTCGACCCCCAGTTCGACCCCCAGTGGCAATTTTGCGCCTCAATTTTGACTTTTGACAGGCAGACAGGCAGGCAGACAGACAGAGAGACAGACAGACACCGCTTTTTTATATATACTAGATTTCTGAGCCAATCAATTTCCAGATCCCCGCCAGCACTCCACTCCATCAATTCCCTGCACCAGTTCCACAAGTTGTCCCCCAGATCACAACGATTCCATCAATTCCATCAATTCCCTCGATTCCCTCGAATTCCGTGTACACCCTCGTCCCAATGCCAACAATGACACATCTCCAATCCAATCAACCAATTCATTTGAGTTATCCGACCACCCCGAGGGCTAATATCCTGCCAGCAACCGAGCACATAATCGCCAGGATTCAGTGAGAGGATACGGTAGCTTATCCAGTAAACAAAACCACATCACATCACAACATCAAGTCTAGGCTCTCAATCATCCGTGTGACACCCATAACCATCAAATTTTTTTGTCTTTGTCTTATTCTCGACCCTTACCCGTCATTAATTCCACCAGTCCTGAAACTCGTCCGACTAATTTTTTATTTTTTGTTGTTTCTCTTTGTTCTTTATCTCTTTGGTCTCAATCATCCGTGTGACACCCATAACCATCAAATTTTTTGTCTTTGTTTTATTCTCGACCATTTCCCGTCACTAATTCCATCAGTCCTAAAACTCGTCCAAATGATTTTTTATTTTTTGCCATTTTCATTTTTTCTCATTTCCTAAATGTCTAGTGCGCTCCAGATCTAAAGATTTTCTTAAAATTTTCTAAAATTTTAAGATTTTTGAAATCTACAAAAGCCCAGTCTCTGAATGTTTTGCCATGTCGCACCTATTTCACATAATCCACCAATTCACTAGCTCCCAATCATCCGTGTGACATCCATAACCATCAAATTTTTTGTCTTTGTCTTATTCTCGACCCTTTCCCGTCATAAATTCCACCAGTCCTAAAACTCGTCCGACTAATTTTTTCTTTTTTGCCATTTTCATTTTTCTCGTTTCCTAAATGTCTAGTGCGCTCCAGATGTAAAGATTTTCTCAAAATTTTCTCAAATTTTCGATTTTAGAAAACTACCAAAGCCCAATCTCCGGATTTTTTGCGATGTCGTATTTATTTCACACAATCCACCCATTCAATAACTCTCAATCATTCGTGTGACATCCATAACCATCAAATTTTTCGTCTTTGTTTTATTCTCGACCCTTTTCCGTCATTAATTCCACCAGTCCTGAAACTCGTCCGACTAATTTTTTATTTTTTGCCATTTTCATGTTTTCTCGTTTCCTAAATGTCCAGTGCGCTCCAGATCTAAAGATTTTCTCAAAATTTCAACAATTTTACGGTAAGGTACTCTTTTAAAGCATACAATATCCAGGATTCAGTATTTTACAGGAATTCATCAAAACTGCAGTACCCCTATTGAATCTAAATTG